GTGGACAAGGGAAGAGCTACTGATGTCACTTCTCTGGGCTTCTGTTAGGCCTTTGACACGGTCCCCCACAACATCCTTCTGTCTAAATTGGAGAGAGATGGATTTGATGAGTGGACTGTTCGATGGATGAGGAATTGGTTGGATGGTTGCATCCAGAGACTAGCGGTCAACAGCTCAATGTCCAGATGGAGATTGGTGATGAATGGTGTCCCTCAAGGGTCTGTATTGGGACCAGTACTGTTTAATATCTTCATCAATGCCATAGACAGTGGGATCAAGTGTACCCTCGGCAAGTTTGCAGATGACACCAAGCTGAGTGGTGCAGCTGACATGCCTGAGGGACGGGATGCCATCCAGAGGGACCTGGAGAAACTTGAGGAAAGGGCCTGCGTGAACCTCATGAGGTTCAACAAGGCCAAGTGCAGGGTCTTGCACCTGGGTCAGGGCAACCCCTGGTATCAATACAGGCTGAGGGTTGAAGGGATTGAGAGCAGCCCTGCTGAGAAGCACTTGGGGATACTGGTGGATGAAAAGCTGGACATGAGCCAGCAATGTGCGTTCGCAGCCCAGAAGGCCAACCGTATCCTGGGCCGCATCGAAAGAAGCATGGCCAGCAGGTTGAGAGAGGTGATTCTGCCCCTCCACTCTGGCGAGACCCTACCTGGAGCACTGAGTCCAGCTCTGGAGCCCTCAGCACAGGAAAGGCATGGACCTATTGGAGCAGGTCCACAGGAGGGCCACAAAAATGATTAGACAGCTGGAGCACCTCTCCTATGAACAAAGGCTGAGACAGTTGAGTTTGTTCAGCCTGGAGGAGAGAAGGCTCTGGGGAAACCTTGTTGATTTAGACTAGATATAAGGAAGAAATTTTTCCCTGTGAGGATGATGAAACACTGACACAGATTGCCCAGAGCAATGGTAGATGCCCCATCCCTGGAAACATTCAAAGTCAGGTTGGATGGGGCTCTGAGCAACCTGATCTGGTTGAACATGTCCCTGTTCCCCTGAAGATATCCCCTGCACACTGGAGGGGGGTTGGACTAGATGAACTTTAAAGGTCCTTTCCAACCCAACCTGTTCTGTGATTCTGTGATTGTGAAAGCTGCATGACTTTGTAGTGCACAGCACCTTTTAGGCATCCCTAGTATATCTTCGTTCAGTTACTTGACACAACTTACCTCTAATACCAAAAGATGCAGAAATGTCCTCAGGTAGTCTGCTCGGCTGTTTAAGAAACAGAGCCTATCTCTATGCTGCTATTCAGTAATCCATCTTATTGATTTAAGTACTTGTTTTTGAAGCAAGTTCTAGTTTTATTCCAAAAATGTAATCAATGTACAGTTTGGGATTAAACAAAACAAGGTATAGAAAAGCATCCTTTTTGGTCCTTGGGCAGGAACAGGAAGGTCATGTATAGACTGAGATCATTAACAGGAATGCTAGGTTTATATTTCAGGGTTTGCCTGTCTTAAAGTTCTCATGTGGCTCCTGATGCCCATAGGCTTCGTGTGCCAGGATCCATGCCAGCGGTCAAGTCGGACCATTTATCATTCATCTGAATCTGTCAGGAGAAATCCGTACCAGAAGCTGCAGGTAAGTGACTTCAACAAGCCAGAGCTGAGGAAGATTGCAGGAAAGTCATTCTTACTGAATTTGGCTCACAGGTGAGAGAGCCAGTAAGTGAGTGAGGTTATCTGGATTTCTAGTGTAACTACAGAAGAGAGTCAGGAGATGCACCTGAGCTATGGGCTGTTTAGCCACTTTTGTTTTGTTGTGGCCAACAAGCTGCCAGAACCCTAGAACTTTATGAATGTCTCCAAGACCTCCGAGGCAGAAAGAGCTTTTTGCGTTTGAAATTTAAGGCTTCTTTCCCATTCAGTCCTGGAATCTTTCACTTCCTTTCCCATGGATCCTTGGACTGGGGCCTCAGTGTGGCTTGCTGTGACTGTCTGTTACCTTTTCTGCTGAGATAGTGCTTTCTTAGCACTGTGATGCTGATGGGCAGTTCTTCTCTATCTTTCTGGCTACAAGATGGGTTCCATAAATACCTGTTGAAGTGCAGCACTCACAAAAGGCAGGGAGATGCCCTATATAATTTGGACATTCAAATGCATTTCTTCTCAAGTAAATAGGCAAACGGTGTATCCTGATACTCTCTGCAGCTGATGCATATGTTCCTGCGAGGGACATGCAATATGGCTGTGTAGCTCAAGTTCAGTTAGGAAATGAAAAGCTGTTTTTGTTCAGTGATAGAGTACCAATATGCTGTTTGTTTTGTCATACGGAAAACTCACAGACATTGCAACATTTTGCTTTTTGTAACATTTGGAGTCTTAGGAGACAGGTGAATAGCTGATAAGGTGAGATTTGAGTATCTATAGGATGTGTGGCTGAGTCCAAAGCTTCTAAGGCAAATTGAATAGATAGGATTTCATACAGATGTCTTTGACCATAAAGGTGTTCTTTGTGGCAGACAAAAGGTACGTCAGATAAATTAGGAAGCATTCCAGAAAAAGTAACCTTCTCACTTAGAGTAATGCAGTCAGATCCTGATGATTTGACATCTTTTATCTGAAAAAAATTATGCAAGATAGTCTCAGAAAATTGAGCTGTTAGCAAGCATTGAATTTTAAGGAGGTTTAAACTTACAGATTTATTTTGCTTAGAAAAAACACAAATAGGTGTGAGGCCTGGCCAGTTGAAATGTGCAAAGATTCATATGACAGAGCAGTGGTTATGAGATGGGATTACCTTGTATTTTGGATGGGTGTCCCACTTGCCTATGTTTACCAGGAATAGGCTTCTAATCCAGTGATAAAATTTTATAGCATGTTTTTCTTTACCTACATGGAAGCCCCATGGCTAAATAGGTGTCTAGATCTTTCCATGGTTCAAGAATGTTTTGGCCTGCTCTTTGCTGAATGCATTTTATCTCTGATTGTTGGATCTTTGATGCCTCTGTTCCCATTCTCAGTTGCAAAGTGTACTTTGAACCTCTTTTGTATTTCTTAGATCCTTCATGAAGTCTTAAGTTTTGATTGTTCATGTAGGCCATCTTTAATTATTGTAAAAGTTGCTCCTTGGCAAAGAAATGCTGATACCAGTCTTGGTCGTGAGATAGTTACGGCAACTTCTGTTTTCTGAGTTTCACTAGCCTGGACTGCAAGTTCCTTGTGCAATTACTTTGGTTTGAGCCTCTAAGCATTTCTCTCCCTAGGGAAATTTAGCTGCTTCCTATGTAAAGTGTTGTTGATTCGGGTTGAAGCTCTTTCAATTAACTGTAAGCAATAAAGGGACCTCAACCAGTTTTGTACAGACCAACTGCAGAGAAGAACTTGGCAGTAGTACAGCTAGAAATGATAGGTAGGTCTCTTGAGAATCCTTTCTTAAACCATTTGCTCCTCTTGGGCATTGGAGGGGAGGAAGGCAACCTGAATAACACTAAAGGTAAGAAAAATCCAAGCTCCTCTGATAATAGTTTTCTTTTGAACCCACCCTTGACATTAAACTGGTCTTGCTTGCAGGCCTGATGCCAGGTAAGTAATACAGAGTACTTTTTGACATTCTGCTGATGTTTTTACACTTGTTTTGGAATGTTAAATAGCATTTTGTTTCTTCACAAGAACTGGAACATTGTGGAGATATTTAAATGAAATGGCTTCTGGAATTTCAGGGTTTTTACTTTTTTTTTTTTACCCTCTCTGTTCTATGAACAATTCTACTTGACAGCATCTGTTTCACCTTAATACACAGCTATTAAATATTTTCCTCTGGGTAACTCTTATTTTACAAAAATATGAATTTTGGTCACGAGAGTTGAGTTCATTCATCCATTCTGCAGAGCTCTTCTGTGTGCTTTTGAAAATTATATTTGTGTCCAGATGCATTCTGCCCAGTTGAGCACATCTGAGGTTAGGATTAGTGCTGTGTTTGGAATACATTCGTGGAGGCTGTTATGAGGAAGATCTAAACTGAGATGACAGAAGCTGTTAGCTATATCTCTGGACTTCAGTTATACCCTTTTGCTTTAGGGTACTCACTGCTCCTCTGCAACTCAGGCAGGGATGATAGTGTCTTGAAGAACACAAGGTTTTTATTCTCTTTATGTGTCTCTTGCAGCGTCCTGTGTCTGCGCAGTCGCAAACAGCAAACAGCAGATTGGTAAGTATCCTTCAGCTCCCTTCACCAATATAAGGGATGCAATTTCAAATGTTACCTTGTACAATACTTTTGGCGCATTTCATCACAAAATATATTTTGCAGCTGAGTAGCCTGGGTGGGGTGGGAAAGACAAGAAAAGAAGAGGTGAATAGGTGCTGACATACTTTTCCGTGTGGCAAGAGCAAAGGTTGGAAAAACATTTACATCAGTTCTAGCAGCTTAAGAAAAAGCATAGGTGATGTGCTGAGAGTCAAGGTCAGCTGGGTCAGATCCCTCTAAGTTTTTAATCCTACAGGTATTTCTGAACTGCATTTTAAAGAAATTGGATATAGATGTTTGAAGATGAAGTTGTCACTTTGGTCATCAAATGATGAAGACAGTGGCAGCACAGTGTTCTGGATTTGATAGGTGATTGAAAAGGAAAGTGCAAAACAAATGTAAGAGCTGGTGGAAGCAGCAGTGAGTAGGAGTGTCACTCCAAAAGGAGGGAGGAAGGAGGAATTTTTGTCTTTTAATCTTACAGGGATGGAATAAGTCTGAATAAAAGGCATAGCACAGGTGAATCTGTACTGACAAAATTCAGGTGGCCCCATAAGAGAAGTAATAATTTTCTGTGGGACAGTCATCTGAAGGAAACTGAAAATTTGAGAGTGAACTAGGTCAAAATAGATACAGAGGTAGAAGGATTTCTTAAAGGTAATGGAAGAATGTAGAACTATTGTTAGCATAAGTCAGACTGATCTACCTTTCCAAATGTCATGTTTGTCACCCTCCTTGTAAGCCATATGGACAAAACAATGTTAGATTACAATTCTAAGCACGTGGCTGTGTGGGGACGTGGTAGGCATTATTTTGCTGCTGGGCTTCATGCATGAATATAATAGCATGATTCTAATTTTTTTTTGAGGTTTCCCAGCAGGAAGGAAAGTAGGACAGATGGAATCATCTTGAGAACCTAATTCATTCTATGCGTTGCCGTTTATGTCGTTCTGTGTAAGTTTAGCTGAGGCTAAGAAAAAAGAGTCGTATTGAATAATGAGGTTTCATAGAGAATAGGAAGGATCTTTCTGCCAGCTGCTGTCAGTGCTTAGTATAATTAGAATCATGATGTGGGAACCAGAGATGCTTGCAGAATTTGGAGATAAAACAAAGTGGTTGGATTTATCTATACTTTTAAAGATAAGCTGGGTCAAAGAGGAAACAAGGTCTTTGTGAAGTTGGAGACATTTCTATGCTACAGCCGGAGAGAATTCTGCAGTAAAACACTGGAAAAAAAAAGTGTTTGTGCAGGAAGTTCAGTAAAGTTAAGAGTTATTCTCTAGCGTTTTGACAATAGTGCAGTTTGTTCTCAGGTAGGAGCTAGAGCTGTCAATATGTAGGCATACATTTTCTGTTTGTAATCAATGAAATCCTCTCCATTGTATCGTGACAATGGAAATGATTTCATTGAAGTATTTCCTTAGTAAAGAAGATTATCTGATAGGGTGAAAAATTTCCTGTAATATTCTCTGAGCAGCAGTTCTCACATGATGATTGTTATGCTAGTGTCAGGAAATGTTTTTTAAGAGGAGGTTACCTAGAAGGAGATGTTAGAGGAAGTTATTAAGCAAAGTTGTTGAGCTGTGCTCTTGAAATGGAGGAGAGCTTAGGAAGAAAGACTAAAAGCCTTCAACTTAATGCCTTCTACAGCATGAAGCAAACCTGTTTGACTATTGATATTTTTACTTGTTCTGCAAATGCTTGTCTTCTACCTTCTCATCCAGATTGTCTTGTTTTTCTCTTGTTTTATTTAACCAGTTTTCATTAGGTTTAGCAAAATGTTTCAGCTGGCACCTGCTATGTCTGTTTCTCTTTGGATCTTTCTGTGCCAGTTACTGCAGTGCAACCCATTCTAGTGCAATGCCTGTTGCTTTTGCAATTGCTTGATCTGCAGATTCTGAATAGCCATTTGCAATTTCTAATGAAACAGAGAGAATGGAATTCAATTCCAGTAGTCCTTACAAATAAAGATATGACTTGATCTTGCCATGAGTTTTATTTCTATCTGAGCAGTATGGGATATTCCCCTGGGCTTATCCATCTTAAGGTATCTGTCACGTTTTTATCTTCTTTCTAGATTAAGAAGGCTCTCTGTGCATACTTTGCTCAGTGTAGTGCTAAAAGAAAATGTGAATTTTGTGTAAAGGCATGAGTCCTTCTCAGCTACACTCTTTTAATGCTGTTTTTAGAGAGGTAGTTTGCCTGAACTGGACCTAAGACCAGCTAAAATGTACTTGAGAACATATTCAAAGATTTCAGTCTTGCTGCGATTTTATAATCCTGCTAATTTGAAGACACTTTGAATTCCAGTCCTATGTTAGAATTGTCCAGGACTTCCCATCAGGTTAAGAATGAACTTGGAGAGACTGTCTGCAAAGTATTTATTTTCTTTTTAAAAAATTTGCATATGTATGCACATTTGCATGATGTATCTATGTACATATACAGGATCTGTCTGTTAAGTGTGAGAAGTAGCAAGTTGAAATCCAGCAGTACAGTAACTAAAGAATAACGGGTGGTGAACTGGATTTTTCACTTTTTTTCTTATAACTTAATCTCCTCACTGAAGTACAGTTCTGTTCTTCTAGTGTAGCAACAGAACTGGAACAAAGGGTCATGGTTCTGGTACCATTGAGCTGTGAATCCAAGTGTATTTGGGGCCTGTGAATATGAATGTTGGATCTAGTGCCCCTTGGGTGAGGATTTTTCTGTATAAAATCCTGGCTTTGGTGCTTTTGGGTATGTCTCATGTTTTTCTGGAAGAGGCCAGGGGTGTAAATACTGGCACTGATGCCTGAATTGTGAGTCCTGCTGTGCTAAAAACTAGAAATGTGAATACTCACATTTAGTGCCTGCTGGGGTGTGGATTCTTCAACAGTTGGAGTGTGGAATTGTGAATTCTGGCTGTAGTACTCTGGAGTGTAGATTCTGCTGGGAATGGTGTCCTGGAATTTGAATGTAACTTTTGCTTTTTTTAAAGTAAGTTGGGAGAGGAAAAAGGGGAAAAAAAAATGTGTGTTCATACTGTCTCTACAGCATACCCGTCCTCTGTCTGCCAGTGATGCTGAAAATAAAAACACGATGCCCTCAGGCAGAGAAAAAGCAACAGGAAGGCAAGGCAGCTCTGTGCTAGGTCTCTCCATGGAGGAGGTAAGTAGACTATTAAATATCTTTTTATTTACCTTGGCTTTCATGCAATATGTGGGGTATTTGCTCAGCAAAGAGCAAGTGCATGTATATGAAAAACATGACAGAAGTGTAATTTTCGAAACAAACTGCTGAGTTTTACTGCTGGTACTTCCCTTGCCTTCAGTCATGCCAGGCATACATATGTGCTCCAAGCAGTGATAGATTCCTTCAGAATTTAAATGCAAGATAAAATTGCTTAAGGATATCATATGTACCCAGCTTACTCCCAGTACTGCAGTAATAGTCTTGTCCTGTGAAACTCAGAGATTTTTCTAGGGTTCTTTTTATATTGTATCTATTTTGCTGGCTGTTTTTTTTGGTCTCTTTTTATTCCAAGATAAAAGTTCTTCGTCGAGTGAGAGAGGAGAATGAACGGAGAGGAGGCTTCATCAGGATATTCCCTACCCCATTAACATGGGACCTTTATGGGTACGAATAAGAATGCAATAGGATGGCTCAATGTTACACTGATGCTATGTGTTGAGGGATATTCTGTGTTAGGTATATGTAGATCAACCAGTTTAGCAATCAGAAAGACACATATTGAGGCTTTTGGTAGAATTTATTTTAGTGTTGATGTTTTTTTCTTATCTCTTGTTTTTAACTGCTGCTGTGTTGCCTAACTTCACCTCATGGAAGGCTGTCAAACATTGTTTCTGATGTTGCTTTTCTGTCAGAATAAAAATTTCTTCACTTCAGATAATCTATTCCTTCCCTCTGCTTTTGCATCCTAGAGCTGCACCTACTATGTACTCTGTCATTAGGCCATAACCACAGTATAGGACTCACCTTGTGAGTGATACTGTATTACACTTTTCTCACTTTTTTTCCCAGTCTATAATGTTTCTCTCTGTCTCTTGCTTCACCAGGAACTTCAGTCAAGAAGTGATAGCTCTCCTCCTTTCCTCTTTTTTGTTATGGTACAGCATACTGTCTCAATCCACTTCTGGGATATTTTTTGTAGTTTACTTAATTCTGTATCGTGCTGCCCTTCATTTTGTTGAGCTCAATCTTGATACATCCTGTATTTTGTTTTTCTAGATCCTTTTTAGAGCACAAGACATCAATGAACTACATGCTGGCTACACGTCTGTTTCAGGACAGGTAAAAAGCTTTTCTATTTGGGAGGGAGGAAAAGGGCACAAACAGCCTGAACAGGGTTGATTCCCCACTCATCCAATGTTATAAACACGGATCTGTGATTTATAGGGGTGGTAATAGTTGCACATCTCTTCTCTAGTGTGCCAGTGACTGTGAAGGTTTCTCACACTTTTACATGTTGCACTTCTGAATCCTGGGGCAAAAAGGACAATACACAAAAGGCATGGGAGTCACTGGAGTAAAAAGATGAATATAGACATGAAAAACCTTCAAGCACCTAGGTTTCTCTATGAAGGGATTATATGTGGTCCTTGCTTACCTTTTGTTTCAAATTTAAAGTCATGTCAGAGCTTGTCCTCGTGTAAAGTAAGCACCGAAGTTTACTCTGAAGGTTTAGTATCCCTACCTCTTGGCCTGTGCAAGCATGATTTGATGCCTCTTTCTCTGGGTTGTGCTTGGGTGGAAACGACAGTTCATGCTGCTAGCTGAACTTCCATTGAGAGCTGTATGCAGTATCTTTCACTGCATGTTTAACACCCTTCCTTCTCAATGGTTTTTCTTTTCCAAATTTGAGATCCACAATAAAGTAACTACAGAGTAAGGATAAGGTTGCTGACTGAGGAGACAATATTTACAGAAGCTCTTCCTGCATCAGTATTGTACAATTTTTTTTTTTTCTGTGTACTTTCAGGGATGTGTCTAGAGAGTATCTCCAAATTACACCACCTCCAATTTAAGACAGGCAGATGCAAGCATCAGTTGTAGAACAGCTGCTCAGATTTCCTCTTTTGGAGCCTTTTTTCCCTCTTGTTTAAGATAGTACTGATGAGGAATTATGTAAATTTGGCCTTTTCATTGTACATATGAAAGACTTAGGCTTTTTAATCCAGTCAGTGATCCAGAATGGAAGGTAATTTTTGCCATTTTTCCCTTTGTAGGGGCAAGATGAAAAGAGACTTCATCGCTGGGAGATCCCGGTAAATGGCTTCTTAAGTAAATAATTTATACTTTGTAGGATTTATTCTAAATTTAGATTGCCACAGCTTCATCTTCCCAAGTCCTGGGTCCACACCTTTTCTACCTGAAATCCATCAAACTAATTTTAGAAAAGTAAATACAGTGAGCAAAGAGTATCCCAGCATGTGGAGAGCTTAAGTTTTGTTGGATTGGACCTTAAAATTCCTCCTCTTAGCCTTCCTACTTTGGCATTCCAACCATATTGATAAGCCTCATCATTGACCTCCCTCAAAAGATGTCATAATGCATTAGGGTTTTGGATTTCATATACCCATATATTCACATTCCTAGATCTAAAAGATAAATGGAGCAACAGGAATTTTCTGTGGATGTTCCCACTTACATCATAAAGAGCACTTTGCTGGATCTTTGTGCACTGGCAGAAAGTTGGTATGTTTGGAGGAATCTGGCAGGGCTCCTTCTCCCTTGGTTTAGGAAGAACCTGTAGAAAGGTTGTAATTTTTTGCTTAAATTATGTTAAAATTCTTATCTCTGGCCAAACAGTGAAGAACAAGATGTCTACGTAAAAAGTTCAGAAGCCTGGACTCAGGTCCGTGTGTTCTCTCACCACTTGCGTCCGTTGATTTGTACTTTTGCAAGCATTGCAAGAGTTGAATTGCAATTCAGTTTTCCTGTTTAATTGTGCCTTGAGCTGCTGCATGATGGACAGATGCTGCTCAGTCATGAAAGCATGACACTAGATAAGTGTGTTTTGGGGCTTTGGGAGATGATGTTCTGTAAAATATGTGCAAGACTCCCTTCAAACGTTTGCAGGCTTTAAATAGAGCAAAGTTAGACTGATCATAAATATTTCTTCCCTGTGTCAGGAAAACTGTGTCTTGAAGAAATTTAATCTGCTAAGTCTCTTGTATCATCAGGGAGAAAAGTATAAAGGGAGATTGAGGTTCTCTGTATTATGCTTCCCAGAGCAGGTCTTAATGGAAGGCTGGATACGAGGCTGGAAGCTGTAGACTCTCATGCTCTTTTTTATGAGAGAAAGCTTCTTTCACTGGAGTTACGGAAGCGCCGGCAAAGTCATGGCAAGGCTAGAGCAGCACGGACAAGATCATCAGGTATGCACGGCTAGAGTCTTAGATGAACAGCTAGTCAAAAACCAACAAGCAAGGACTTTTTAATTTGAAATGTGTGTGAAAGGGGTTATTCTGGCCTATGTAGTCCTTAAAGAGATTCACAGGTTGAAGTTAATAGTTTGCATTTCATTCTCCTTCTGAGCTTCCTGCCTTTCTGGTGCCTAGAATTTCATTCCCACCATTCCACATCCCCATGTATATGACTAAAGGTAATCAATATTTTCTTGAAGTTGAGCTTGTGGTTGCATTTTTGGGTACAAGAATTCAACAGTATGTGTGCCTCTATAGTCCTCTAGCTTTTCTGAGAAAGATGAAAACTTGGGACCTTCCAGGCTGGTTCTCCTACACAGCAGTGACTAAGCTGTTGGAAAGAGAAATCTTGCGTACCCAAGCTGATGTGGGAAAAACTTAAAAGGATCCAGGGGTGAATGATCCTCACAAGTGGCTGTTCCTGAAGCCATTATCTAAACTCCTTATAGTAGCTATGTGATACTGACTGCAATAGGGGAGATTGTATGTTATAAAATGATTTTTGGTGCTATGTTAAGGTATATGATCTTTACTGGCACATGTAGAAATTTAGTTTCATAGCTTTGTTTTTTCTGACTCATAAAAATAAAAAAAATTAGTATATACGTCAAGTATGAGTATATCTATATATATGTCAGTATATTCTCAAGAATCACGATAAAATACAGGTAAATGCCGTTGTTTCTTTGAATTTATTTTTTTAAATTTGTAAAATTAAGGTGAGAATCTTCATCTGTCGTCTTTGAATATTGGGGAAATGAACTTCTCAACTGTTTGATTCACAAGCAGACAGACAGAAAGACTAAGAAAGGGCGGCAATACTTAAGATGCTATTCTAAAATGGTGGTGTTCTGTCCTTCCAGCAGAAAAGCGTTTAGAAGTAAACCAAAGTATATAAATAGCAGGACAGTCTTCCCCACTTTTTTTCTTAACCAGTATAGGTGATTTCTCCACTACAGAGACATCAGAACCAACAAAGCTGTCCCTCAAGTCAGACACAGAAGGTGAGGAGGAAGAGGAGGTGGCTGAAGATGAAGAGCTAGATAGAACTGTTGGCCCTCTTCCGGATACCCAGGTGAAAAGCAAGCCAAAGCTCTCTGACCTGGTGAAAACTACTTGCAAGGAGAGGATACCAAAAAAACTTGACAAGAAAACTGGAGATGGAGGACAGCCGTTTCTTCGAAAAACAGACTCAGAATCTCAGTTTAACTTGCTGCAGATTCTTCAAAACCGTGGAAACCTGAGGTGAGAGATTTCTGCATATTGCCTTGAGTTTTGACTAGTAGCTAATATTGGTTAAAATATGGAGGATGTACACTTAGTGTACATTACGAATGAGTGTGAGGAGATAAGAGGACCCTAGAGAAGGGGGCCAGAATTTTTGTCTAACTGTGGGCTGCTTTAATGACTAGTTGGCGCAGAAAGGAGATAGTTGCAAAGACTGACAGTTTACCTAAATGCATGACCTGTTGGATCAGCATAAAGCATAAGCCATAGTTTCCATTGCTATTCTTTAATCTGGTGATGTAAGCTGTTCTCTGGCCAACTCAAGGCTTCTAAAATACCTCTCTGTCTTAATGCAGGATGCCTGCTATTGAATTCTAAAATTTGTCTTTTCATTCTTTACATTTGCAAAGAAGTGCGTGTAAACATATGTTAAACTATCCAAGAAAGGTTGGGTAGGAATACTTCAGTGCTGCCTCTTCATAAAATTAGTTTTCTCATGTTTGTGCTTTTTATTTTTATTTCTTTATTTATTTTTATATAGCAAGATAAGAGGTCGTTTGACAGTGTCAGGTTACTGAAACATCTTGCGCTTTTTTTGTGCGCTTTTTTTTTTTCTCGTTATTTTTGTATAGCAAGGTAAGAGGTCGTTTGACAGTGACAGGTTACTGGAACATCTCGTTGCCTGCTGTTGAGTATGACAATGTGATTCAGAGTATGTTCTGATGCGTGGTTCTGTTGCTTGAAAAAGAGAGGTGCTGGAGGAGACCGTATAGAATAAAACCAACCAGGGTCCTACTAGATGTTTAGAAGCGTGGTCCTTCCCTTAAATGTGGGTAGTAAAACTGTCTATTTGCAGATAGACAGGAAGGGTAAAAAAAGTGATCATATATGTCTGTGTAGGAGGATTTTTACGTCTTCTAGATAAGAAGCAGCACTATGTTTTCTGTGAAAATTGTCCAAAGGTAGAGAAAATGTTGCTTGTTGTCGCTTTCTTAGAGGATTTTTGAATTATCAGATTAATTTGGGGACTGTTCTGATGTCTTCTTGTGGCAAGGACATTTGCTGTCATGACAGGGAAGATTCCGAAACCTGTTTTGAGGATGAACATAGCAATGCTGTCATCTACCTATACATAGAACTGACTCCTGCCAAGAACGTAAGCTCTGTTTGGTGTTCCTGGCAGAATCTTGCTCAGCACCCAGTACTGTTGGGATTCCCCACAGAAGTGTGTAAGGCTTGTGGTGACCTCATGCTCCAGGATTCTGCTGGGCTTGGCCCCATCTGATCTGTCATTGATGGAAGCTTTGCTTGTGGGATCAACAGGCAGAGGAGCTGAAGTAATGAAATTTTCATCCAAAAGAAACCAGGCCTGTTCCAGTCAGTTTTTGTAAGTGTTGGGACTTTTCTCTCTCCTTTAGGCGGCCTGATGAGGCAATTTCTCTGCCTTCCACACATTGGCTGTTACTGGTGAAGAGGTGACAGTCAAATTTAAACATGTTCCCCCAACTGTGCCATTCCCAGGGAAGTAAAAGGGATTTACTTGTTCCTACATTTAAGGCCTCAGGTTTCAGTGTTCTACACACTGGAGGAGAGGCAGTGTTATATGGGGACCTTCTTTAGTTTCCCATTTTGTAATCACAGAAGCATCAGGTGCAGGCAAAGAAATGTATTACTGTGCTGATGTCCATAACAGGGGGTCCTTAATTCCTACCAGCACAAATTCTGAACTCCTGGTCATGAGATGTTTGAGTTACACCTAAAACAAACCTGGCAGCCCTAGAGAGCCCTGAGGGGAGAGCCTTTTCTGATCTATGGTGGCCTGATGTATAGACTATTACTACTTAGTCAGCGTTCAGAGGGTTCTGATGTTCCACACATGGGAAGAGAAAGGTAGGTGTGCAGCATACAGAGCTTGGAGGTGTTATAATGTCTGCTGTGCATTCTGGAGATCACTGGAAGACAGAAATTGTAACCAGGTATTTTTATCATGTTTTAGTTACTGCGGTACTGGTACAGCTATCCATGGAGAATGTTAGTTTGAGACTCTTGAGAACTCATCATTTGCTTAGCCCCTCTTTGGGCCTGGCATGGTCTTCCAGCAGCATTAAAAGCTAACAATTAAGCAGATGCATGGATGCTTTTAATGTATTTTATTTTAACTTCAATTCTTACCTAAATTGATGCATTGATCTCTTTAAGTGCTACTATGTTATATGATTTCTATGTAACACTGTAACAAAGTGTTCATGAAATTTACAGACTTAAAACAGAAAGACTAAATTTCTGGACTGAATTTTTAATGAAATATCAGGGACTCATGTACATGGGGTCATGAGGACCATGTAACTATCTGAGAATATTCCCAAGAAAACAGAGAACAAGTAGAGAAAAAATGGTGAAGTTCCTCAGGATTCAGTCTGAGGCTGATTTTAATAATCAGTTCAAGAATGACGCAAAATGTAGAAATGTGCTAATGAAACTTGCTGATGGAAAAGTTATTACCATGTTATTACCCAAATTATTACCATGGGAGTTATTACCATGAAAGAAAAGTAGTATAAAAGTAGAATAAACATGGGAAGAGCTGGATGACTAAAAGGATAGGAATAATAAAACTAGGATAAAATTCAGTAGCGCAAAGTGCAAGGGCATGCTTTTAAGAACTAATAATTTACAGCAGAAATTCTATCAGATGGGTGTTTATCAACTGGAAATTAATTATAAGGAAAAATGTCTTGCATGCTTGTTGATCACAGGAGGTTTGTGAAGCTCTAGCTCATGCATGCATGAAAACACCAAATGTAGTCTAAGGTTTATCACTTGGGACACTTCTGAGACTTCATATGAAATATTATATACAGTTACTATCACCGATGTTCATGGAAGGTAAATTGTGGCTGGAACAGGTGGAGATGAGCCGCTAGTCTCATTGTGTCACCAGTGTGGGTACTTTGTTAGAAGACACTGAAAAATGTGGATAGTTCACACTAATAAAATCAAAACTATGAATGGTTGTAGGGCCTGAAGTGATAGGACAAGGGATAATGGTTTTAAACTAAAAGATGGCAGGTTTCGGCTAGATAGAAGGAAGACATTTTTCACAATGAGGGTGGTGAAACACTGGTGCAGGTTGCTCAGAGGGGTGGTAGATGCTCCACCCCTGGCAACATTCAAGGTCAGGTTGGATGCGGCTCTGAGCAACCTGATCTAGTTGATGGTGTCCCTGCTCATTGCAGGGTGTTGGACCAGATGACCTTTAAAGGTCCCTTCCAGCCCAAAGATTCTATGATTCTGTGGTGTAATTGCTGTTAGTAAATACATTCAAGGTAGAAGGCCCATCAGGAATTAAATTATTTAAGATACAAGACTGGAGAAAGAAAAAGCAAATACAAACTGCTCGTGGATGAAGCTAGACTGGGTAGTAAAAGAAGGTTCCTAATTATTAGAACAGAAGGTTCTGGAACAATATTCCAGGAAAGTAATTGGTTGAAAATTCTAGTTTGTTTTAAGATGATACTTGATAATTTTATAGAACAGATTAGGACATTGCCTGTGATAGAAGGGGAATCCGTCACTGACACTAAAGCCCATCTGCTTCTACATCCTTATGAAAAGGAAAGGAGAAATCATGCTTCGCAATTAAAGGGACAGCTTGTAGCGACTACGGGGAAAACTATGAGGAAGACTGGAGACTGGGAAAACAGAATGTTGGAGAAGAGGGTTTAGGCTGACAATGAACAGAATTAGGCAAAGCTTTCAGTAATTTCTCTAGCAACACATGCATATGCTAAAGTGGCTACCATTGTGAGGGAATGAGAAGCAATGTGTCCCTCCCAGTCCTTCCCTCAGTGCATGCTCACAGCTTCCCAATGTGTTCAGCCAGCTGCACAGCAGATTTTGCTGATGTTCTTTCATTCTTCAGTGGTGCCTTGCTCAATGAAATTTGGCTTGTGTCCTTGGGCCAGCAGGGGAAGAGCTCACTTTCACGGATTTAATTCTTTCATTTCCAATGGGAATTGCAGGGCCTTTGTTATAACTCTGGCACCAGTACCAAGCCTTTTATTTATTTTATAGTCTGTTGTTGTGGTGTTCAAAATACTTGTGAAGACAGAGGCCCAAGAGAGCCTTGAATTTGGTTTAAAAATACACAGTTTTACGGACGTTCATGTTATTGGCTTTTGGAGGAGAGTAGCTAAGGCTGTGAAAAGGCAAGGAGAGCATTCCATTTTTTAGAGATGATCTTAGAACTTAGAGAGTGTCTGCTGTCTTTTGTGTCTCCTGCAATACCTACCCCATCTTGAGGAACTGAAGGTCTCCTTGAAAATACTGGCAGGGTGAAAGGGTCCTCCTTCCCTTGAGCTTCAACATTTGTGCACCTAGGAGGTCCTTGCTGACTGTACTTTGGTCCATAAGCTGTGCCTGACTGCTGTAACTCTTCCCATTACTGCTCTGAAGATAGCTGACTGATTTTCTTGGTCTACAGTAAAGTGCAAGCTCGCAGAGCTTTCTCTGCCTATCTACAGCATGTTCAGTTGCGACTGATGAAGGAGGCTGGTGACCAGATCCAGAACCCTGCCTGGGCTGCCAAAGAGGATGAGCAAATGGTAAGAGGCTTATGTTGGCCAGACTGAGAAGCAAACCTGCCTTGAGAGTTTTGAGGTTGGTTCCCATCCTTGGAAGAGCTGAAGTCCAACTGAGATTATAGTTGTCTGTCTTTGTCCAGCTGCCAGTGCTGTATTTTTAATATACAGGCAAGGTAGGACTGCTGATAGACATCTGAGCAGCGATAGACAGCTCTTAATGACTAGAATGTGGTTGACATTCAAGCTGCTCAGATATTTCACTGGTTCTCCTACACCTATCTCTGAACTTACCTGCTTTTGAATTCTTCTCTCTAAGATTCTTTAAGATTACTTGGCAGTATCTGGTTTCTGCTGTGTTAAACAAAGCATACATCTACTCAAATAGAAGAGGTACCCAGTTAAGCCTTTTTCCCTATGTATTGTTTTACTCTTTGCAGGCGTCTGCACTTAGGAATCTTCCTTGCATTCTACGTAGAGGAAAAAAAAGTAAAAGCTGCTGAGGAGAGAAGGTTACTTTCTAGCATAGGTGTTTGTGTTTTTTTTTAAAAAGTGTGATGATTTTTTCCTAGGCAGTATTTTAAGGCCCCATGTTTGATGTATATACATTTTAAAGAGTGCAGCAAGCCAAGATCCCCTCACAGACCTTCCTAGAAGAGCTTTGTATGGTATGCTCCTGAGCTTTTTGTAAATCCAAATGTATTCTTGCTGAATGCATGTTGCAAGGGAAACAGCCAGTGCAGTTCAGAGATAAAATTGTGTGTCAAGAGTAATCAGCCGACTCAGTGGAAAATGTTACCCCTACTCTTTCCAAGTGGAAATTAAAACTGGCTTTTTGAGAGTCACTTTGTCTGCTGTACTGTGAAAAATAATGTTTAAAATAACAGATCAAACCAGCCTGGAGTAATGGCAGTGAGAGGCGAGCTGTGAAATCCAATAGTTTGGCTGTGAGGCTGCTCATTTATGCATTAGCAGAGCTCCTAACCAAAAGCAAATCCAGAGGGGAGACAGAAAGGGTTCAAAACATCGACCCGCTGCATCTTGCCTTAGGATTAGCCTTGCTGTATGCTTCCCCCACCAGAGGTCACACAGACATGGTGGGGGACTGGGATTACATGGTTGTAGATGTAGTCATCTGTTGCTGGGGAGAGGCTGTGGCAATGGTATACATATGGGAAAAGTGATAAAATGGGGCTACATCACTGTAGTGGAGATACCTGACCAAGATCCCCTTCCCTGTGATAGTGCTGAGAGAGTTTTATGTCAGTACAGTTCATCACAGGCCTTTAACACACTGCAGGTTGTTTTTTTGGAAATGTTCTCCTAAGGTATTGGACTTTCCAGATTATTCTGTGCTGTTGCTCCTTTTGCTGCTTGGTTTTTTGTTCATCTGCCATGCTTTTCAGATAAACACTACTCAAATGTTGCCAATTCTAACTCAGCTCAGGCAAGACACACCATTGTTCTTCTCTCTCCACCTTGGATTTGTAGGGCTATATTAAAAATGCACATTGCAGAATGCTTTAGCCTCCCAGTTTTCAGTTCGTTTTCTCAGGACAGCGTGTTTAGCTCTGGCCAGTCATTAGCTGCAATAGTACCTCTGTTCTCTTCTCCCCACTTCTTGCAGCTGGTCCATTGTTAACTCCATCTCTCTTGCTTTCAGGAGCTTGTGGTACGCTTTCTGAAGCGAGCTGCCAGCAATCTTCAGCAGTCCTTGAGGATGCTGCTCCCCAGCCGTCGTTTAGGACTAAATGATCGTCGTCGTATCCTGGCTCACCAGCTGGGCGAGTTCATAGTCTGTTATAACAAGGTGACTGATTCTTTCTTGATTTTTCTTTTGGTAGCTCTTTTGGTTTCTGTTCTCTTCTAAAGTATCTCTTGCTGGCTGCTGTCATAGTCAAGGCAGCAGCCTGTTTTAAAGGCTCTGTTCTGTAGTTTACATGGTCTGTTTGCAGTTGCACATCCAGCAAAGATAGTTTGTCTGTTCAAATGGTCAGATAGACAACAGTATCACTACATTATATATGCAGTCCAGTAATCATGTGCATAAAAGTAAAAAGAAGTGTTGAAATGAAGTGGAATTTAACTGGCAGTTTGTTTTTTCTTTGGCTTCTCTTCGATTCTTTGTAGATAACTTCTTTTATACAGAACAGTATGAAATAGGTATTTTACCATTTCTTTGGTATACTGAGGGACTGCTACCTATCTGTAGTATGGGACTCTGCATGTTCAGTGATAAGGAGAAGTAGGTCCTAATTTAAGTAATTTTAACCTCTTTAGATGTAGAAGATGCCATTCTTAACATAGTGGTTTCTATGCTAATCCTTGTTTCATGAGAACAGCTTCCCCTTTCCTTTGCCCCCTAGCATTTCTTTAGTGTTAGAACAAGGGTAGTTTAAATTTTACTTTGAGAGGCTGCTATGCACACAGGCCTCCAAGCTCCTACTTGTTAGCAGAGGATGTTCACTCACGTTACCTTGTCAGAACTGACATCTGGTAACTTGATCTGTCAAAGCAAGGTTGGTATTGAACCAAATCTGTTCCAGGGAGTGCCTTGTATGCCTAATGCTCACTGAATTACTGTGTTAGGAGTAACCACAAAACACTCGGGCGGCTCTGTGGTGAGTGAAGAACACAGCTGCTTTGGATACAATTTCCAGTCAAATTGTATTCAAACGTCGGGATTTTCTGCTAACTCTTGAGTAAATTCACAAAATAAAGCTGTGTAACTGGTAATAAATCAGTGCATAAACATATTTTCTCAGTTAAAACAAGTGAGAACAGATCACTTGAGGTTTTAGGATGTACATGTTTAAGCCACTGAGAGACTCTTAGGCTATGAGGTTTTTTGATGTCTGATTCTAACATATAGACTTCCTTCACTGACTTGTAACTTCAGATTGAGTAGGGGACTTCTACTAGCCATTATGTATCTTCTGTATGACATAGAAGAAAAAAATACTACCTCTAGCAAACTAAGTAAAACAGATAGCATATTGTCCAGACATTTCCTTAAGTAGTGAAGGGTAGAGACATGTCCCAGAGCGGCTTTTTCTTCCCCCTCTTGAATTATCTTTCAAAAGATGTATCTGACCCTTTTGTTGGAGGAATGACCAGAGTACCAGTAGGAAACAATGAAGTGGAGGTCAAGCCTGGTCAGATAGAGCTTGCCTGCAATATGGGTATTTGACAGGCTTCTAGGGGTGTGTGGTTTTTTGGGTTTTGTTTTTGGTTTTTTTTTTTTCCAATTAACAAATGTTTGTATCAATACAACCTCTAGTGTCAACAAGTTCTACTGGTATAAAATAGAAGGATCATTTATACCTGAGAGCTTGCTCCCATTCTCACACACAAAGACTTACCATCTTTTATTCCAGTATATTTTAGTGTATAAATGCATATTTGCCACAGGTTGTACTGTTTTACTTTCTTTGCTTTTGCTAAAGCAGTATATTTTTGGTATGTAGACAAGCCCTCAGCAATTTGCTGCATGACAAGAGAAATTAACTCAATAGGAGAACTCCTAGTTTACAGTACGAAATGTGGATGCCCTCAGCAGACCTTCTTGATTGAACTTCTTTAATATAATGTTTTATTTTCATCCTCTTCTCTTCCTGAACATCTCCTTTTGGGACAGATGCTCAAATAAAAGCAATTTTGAAGAACTCTGTATTTGTGACAGAAATAGCAAAAGTAGAAAGGGGACCTAATATCTGTAAAGAATGATTTTATTTTTTTTCTCCCCATACTTCTTCATGTCCCAGCAAAGAGTATATTTGATGGAGCAAGCACGTATTTGTGAAGACTTGATCTCTTCTCAGCAAATCAATTCTAGTAAGTTAGGTCAGGTGGAGGAACGAGGAGTTTAGTGTATGCTTAGCATGCTGTTTCTGTATTTATCGGTTCATTTGCACATAGTGAAATACTTATAATTTGGCTCTTTGGAGTTGACGTACTTTTTTTTTAGATCTCATGGAATTGTTTTTTGTCTTCTCTGTGCTGTAGCTATGCCATAGAACCTAAAGTAACTACATAGAGACGCTTACTGATACTGTTTATTAACAGGAAACAGAGCAGATGGTTCAGAAGCGATCAAAAAAGAAACATGAGGAGGAGGAGGAGGGAGTGAATCCTGAAGGTTTTCAGAACTTTATTACCAGAGCGAGGTAGGAATGGATTTTATTCCATTTGATAAAGGATCTCCCAGCCCTGAAGGTGATGAGATTGTTCTAAAGATGATCTGATTGATCTAAAGGCCTCTAGATACCTTTATTGACTGTAGCACCTGCTCTTGTTGGGGAACAGAGAACTTGTCTTTTGTCATTTTTCCCTTCCAGCAACCAAACACTTGTAGCATCACTATCTGCTGCATAGAGAAGGACATGCAATAGATGTTTTAACCATTAAGTAGATTCCCAAAGGACAGCAGTGGTTGCCCTGGTCTGTGTAAATTTCAAACTGATGCTGGTTAGCTAATGGTCTCCTTTCCTGTGATGCTGGAGCAAATGTGACAGTACTTTGGAAGGAGAATGACACCTGCTGTGGTTGAACAGTTGTGGCTCTGGCTCTCAAGTTTCACTCTCAGAAACAAATCTCATGCTTGCTGCCTCTCTTCAGGAACTCTCTGGGTCTGGACTTTCTGAGATTAGAAAGGGAGGGAGTCAGACTCTCTGTCTTCATCTTAGCCTCTTATTTGGCTTGCTAAGGCAGTTCAGTGCAAGCAGTTACTTTCACAATGAAAAAGCAGCATTTTATAACTGTGCATGCTCTGAACTTTATCTGCCTTAAACTTACAAGAGTTCGGTAGGAAATGTATTTTTGAAAATAGGTAAATACTCTTTATGGCCTGTAGTATTGTATGAAAAACAATGATATTATACCTATCTGACTATGGAGAGGTCTGAAATTATTCTGTGAACCAGAGTTATGTCCTCAAAGTCTCTGACTCTTGAGCACAAAACCCCATTACTTTTGACTCCCTTATTTGACCTGTATATGACATGTCTATATGGGCAAGGACCCTGTCAATATCAGGACAGGTAGAGTTCACCTCCCTTTTTAATGCCCTTCTGTCTTCTCTGGGAGGGTTGACAGTCACTGCTTCCTTTTCATGATCAGTTAAGAAACTGTTCTTTTTCTCTGTTTGGATAGCACTCTTAGTGACTGATTAGAAATGGGTGATAGCTGAGGCTTAACTAAGTTCAGGAGGCTTCACAGTCTCTTTTGATGCTACATTCTCATGAAAACAATGAATTTTACATTTTGCTGCTATAATTGATGGAGTGATTATTGCAACAGATTTACAGGCTCCAAGAAAAATCTCGCTGCTTTTCAGACAAAATTCTGTCAAAGAATGATACTGAAGACATCTGACAACCATATACCATAGCATCTACTCTTGTCACTAGAAATGCAGATTACATGGGCCCACAGCATGCTTTTGGTTCTCTGACATCTCTGGCCACTAAAATGACTTGTTGCCTCCTAGGGCAAGTCATTTTGCTTTTTGTCAGAAATGCTAAGAGGTGGCTGTTTGGGGCAGAACTGCATAGTCTTCTGTTTCCATGTTATTGACTACCATGCCATCATGGCCTGATGCACAAGCTAGGCTGGGGTTGGAGATTTTTGCTGGATCATCTGCCTGAGTGATAAAGAACAGCAAAAGCCACTTTGCCAACGATCAGACAATTTCTAGTGATGATCTTTCTGCTTCTTATGAAGTATCAGGTATGTTTGAAAACTCTGATATCTGACACTACTTTGTGCTGTGCTTGAAGCTTAAGTCAGTGAGCTAGTCATTTGGAGCCAAGCAAAGGGGATAGATTCCCACTTTGAGTGTTTGTTCTGCAGTACAGTGAATGCAACACTGGAGAAAGTGGGTAATAAACGTTGCCACTTAATAATTAGGATTGTCTCATTGACTCTTTAACTTTGATATCACATGGATGGCATTGTGTTTACTTATACACATGCTACAGCCATTGCTTCTAAACATCCTCAATGCAATGTAAAAGTATATACTTATGCTGGTAAATTCACTTAAAAGCTTAAAGCACCTTAGTGGCAACAACTTTTCATTCTTACATTTCCGCTTGACCTCTATTTTCACTGGTTTGAGAGAAAAGGTGAACTTCGTAGCACGCCCCAAAGGTCCAAACTCTAGTGAGATCAGCTTTAGACATTGCTTTTACCAAAGCTGAGGCTAGCTAAGACTAGTACCAGTGTGATATGCAGAGGACATTTTGAAGGATTATGACTGCTGCTGTGCAAATTTATATTCCTGTATTATGTTTTCTTGTAGTGTTACTGACACTATACTTGCTTTTGGTGTTTGCTTTGCCATATACCACTCACTAATGCTGAGGTGAAAGGAAAGCATGTTAAATACCAAAACAATTAGAATTACAGCTTGCACGAGCTCTAATATGAATGGCCAAGTAACTGGTGTTGGTTTGGGACCAATAGATGCTTAGGACATTGGGGCAGTTAAGCTCTCTTCTTGTAAAGAAAACGAGAAATGTATGCAAGTTTTGTGAGACTCACAAAAACATTGACTGTTCTGTTATTTTGTTGTGCAGTTTTGGCTAATTAACAAGCTGTTCCCTCCTCTTTCCTCTTCTCTTCCCATTGCTGAGTTGAAACTACTAATGATGACTATAAAACAGAGGCTGAGCTGAATTCTCTCATGAACAAGATAGCTACTTGTTCTAGAGAGCACCTGGGGAAGATTCACAAATTTAGCTGTGAACTGAATCTCTCCTGTTGAGCTGATCTCCCCAAAAATGTTTGTGGAGTATTTACTTCTCTTTATTCTGGAAAGGCTCCTGAATGCCTTGAATTTTCTATGCATAAGAAAATGACATTTCAGTGGGAATCTCAGGTTTAACCAAGGCATGCTCCTTTCCTTCTGCTCTTACCCTGCAGAACTGAGCAAATCATGAGCTTGTTTGGCCTCACCTTTTTTCCCTTTCCCCTCTTCATTTGATTGTTAAATGAATGCAGAAAAGCTTAGAATCCTCACCATTCTTCTCTCCTTATTGTAGTGAAAGTGACCTGGAGGAAGTACTGACATTTTACACACACAAAAACAAGTCAGCAAGTGTCTTCCTAGGAGCAAACTCCACAAGCACAAAACCCAGCAACACCAGTAACCAGTTAGAGAAACAGCCTCAAGGGGGTAAGTGTTGCAGGTAGTTCTGAGATGATGTTGCCCAGACAAATCCAGTTTAACATCAGTCTATGGAAAGAGAACAAAGAGAACAACCCCTCCAGAATGTTATTCAGGTTTCTTGAGGTTGCTTATTTATTTTTTTAACTAACTCTGTGTGAAGACTAGAGTAACTGCACTCCTGCTGCCTTTGCCTGAAGTGAAATGTGATGAATCTGGACTAGCATTTATAAGGAACTAGATATAGTGGCCTATCACTGAAATGAGAAAGTGCAAACTGAAGGCACCAAGATTTGAAATGAACAGAGAATCCCAAAATCAAAGCACGGTATGAGAAAAATCAAGGCCTGTTAAATTGTGCTGCCTACAGTGAGCACACCCATTGGAGGGCAGAGTCTGTATATTTGAGCCTAATTAGGTGTTCCATGGAAGGAAGTGTAGTGCCAGCCATACATATCCAGTAGTCCATGCTACTGTACATGACAGCACAATTGCGATCAATAGAGTTGCATGGTCTACAGTAAATGTAGCAAGAAAGTCCATTGTAACAAGGTTTAAATTCTTCAGTTCTGTTCTAATGATATCACAGTTTGCATTTTCTACTTCATAACTCCTTGGTTTTGTTATAGAGTATCCTGAGGTGGTGAAAGAAATAAAAGGTGATTGGCCCAAAAGTTCAGTTGCAGATCTGCCTGCAGAAGAAGCATTAAAAGTCTGTAAACCCAAAGAAGTTAAATCAACCTGTAAGTGAACTGGCTTCAAACATTGTCAAGAAAAAATAATGAATGCATATACTGTTTTCATTACTGTTTTAAACAAAGGTTGGAACCTTTGTGTTCAAACTGAGGGATTCAAATGCCCAATTTTGGGGAAGATTCTGCAGGTTTTTCTTTTAATCCCAAGAGAAGATACTGTAGAGTGAGCCATATGAAAGAGTTAGCTGCTATTCTGTGGGGGAAGATCTAGATATGTCAAGCTTTGAAAGAGGATATTCATCAAGTAGAGCATCTTCTTGTCTACATTGGTAGAGGAGGTCATTTTGGCTTCATATATCTGAGTAGCGGCATCTCTGGTGTGTTGATACTATCTGAAGGACCTGAAAAGCAGCTTTTTCTCATGTAGTGTGCTCATTTTCTTTGTGTAGTTCCAGAAGGACCCACCTTCTCCTTAAATGCTGAAGTGAAATTACCTCGATGTGGCCCTCCTAGTGCTTCTTCCTCTGTTTCTGGTGCCACATTCCAAAGAAGTGCCAGTTCCTGGATACCATCTCAGCCTGCAGCCTCTGAAAATTCACAGGTGCCTGGTCACCATTCATTGACGGCTCCTCCAGTTGGTCCCAGGCTGATTCGGTCCCCATCCCTGCTACCTTCCTCGCAGAGCACAGCTCCTGACAGCTCTTCTGTCTTCACAAACCCAGTGTCCAGTGAGGCTTCTAGCCTTGCAGGGTTACATCGTTGTCATTCTGGTAGCTACACCATTGGTCCATTTTCATCTTTTCAGAGAGCTGCTCAGATCTACAGCCAAAGATTGTCCCGACCATCCTCTGCAAAAGTAGGTGAGTGTTCTGGCATGCATAATAACCTGCTAGTTCAGTGTATATAGATTGTGTAATCTCTGTTCTGGAGTAGGTAGAAATTCTACATTTCCAGAGTTACAAGTCTTGTTGAATGGTGCTAAATTTCTCATGGAAAAGAGTGCAGGAAGCAGCCCTTGTTTGCCAAAGATGCCCTTTTACTGAGCAGATGAACAGGGAATCATAGAATCATTCAGTTTGGAAAAGACCCTTAAGATTATTGAGTCCAGCCGTTAACCTAGCACTGCCAAGTCTACCACTAAACCATGGCCCTAAGCGCCACATTTACACATGTCTTAAGTACCTTCAGGGATGGTGACTCAACCCCCTCCCTGGGCAGCCTGTTCCAATGCTTGACAACCCTTTTGGTGAAGAAATTTTTCCTAATATCCAATCTAAAACTCCCTTGGCACAACTCGATGCTGTTTCCTCTTGTCCTATCACTTGTTACCTGGGAGACCAACACCCACCTCACTACAACCTCCTTTCAGGCAGTTGTAGAGAGCAATAGGGTCTCCCCTCAGCCTTGAACTCAGCCTTTAAACTTGTTCGAAAAGAGATGGGAAATGAAGTATTGTATATTTTTGCTTGATAGTGTTACTGAACTCTTGTTTATCTTCAGTGATTTTAATGAAGTTTTGGATAGCAGAAGTCCTGTCTCAGTCTATGTGCTATTTAAAAGACGTGTAGAGGTGGTGCTTAGGGACATGGTTTAGCAGGCATGGTGGTGTTGGATTGACGGTTGGACTTGATGATCTTGGAGGTCTTTTCCAACCTTAATGATTCTATGATTCTATTCTTAGTTCTGTGTTTCTTTATCATGCAGATAAATCCTTTAATGAAACCTCATAATTATTGAATACTTAAAGGTCAAGACCTCCAAAAAAGAAAGATCTGAATGAATCATTACTGTATCTCATTCTTTAGGACCTTTCAGCACTGCCATGTCCAGGAGTATCTTAAAAATCATATCTAGAGACCTTTCATTTACTATGCTGGGGTAGAACATAGTTGAGCAATGCAATTTTAGAGTGCAAGGAATCTGAAGAGTAGCAGAAACTGTAGGAAGTTACAGATGTAATCTATTAGGAAAGTTTTGGGAATCACACACAGGCTAACAGCTGTGGTCCTGATAATATATATATATATATTTTTTTTTTTAAATGATGGTCTACATTTGCTTTAGGTTGTATGTCAGGGTCCACACCCATTCACTAGGCTTCCTGTGTATATCGTGACAACCATTCTAGCATTAAAATAAATCTGGCTTCCCAAATGAGTAGCTTATTTAAAGGGATCCATTTGTTTCTTTAAGGAAAAACATTATAGATTTAACTTGGGTAACAGCAGCCAATATTCTCTGGAATTGGGTCCCACTAGATACATTATGATAAATTGAATACAAGTTTGGAATTAACAAAAGCTCGTATAGGCAATACCTGTGCAGAATAGAAGGCTGTATTCTCCCTAGAATCTGCAGAAAGTATCATACCTGCTTTTATATCTCTGTTATCAGCAGGCTAACATACCACTCACTAAGCATATCCAAATGTTTGTTTGGTAGGTTTGTGCCATCACAGTCCAAGGGGGCAGCGTGCAGGCTCAGCCAGGATGCACAAAGATGCAGAAGATACTTCTTCCCAGGGCAAATGTTATAGCCCCAGTATGGTCGCAGCAGAACTGCAGCAGCTGGCAGAAAAGCAAGCCGCCTGTCAGTATTCCCCACCAAGCCACATCAGTCTTCTTACACAGCAGGTATGTAAGCAGTAAAGCTAGAGTCCCTGTGACAACAGAAAAGTCTGTCACAGGCTTCTATGTCAGTGCTGGGCTGGGCTGAGACATGCTGGAAGAAGTAAATCTCATGAAAATCGATTTCTGTCATGTTGTTGTTTACTGTGTTTACAGTGACCAGTATTTTTATTTTCTGTGAGATTACAAGAGCATTGCTAAGGTCCTTTTATAGAAGAAAATGAGACTGGACAGAGGATTAGAAAATATGTTATTAAAAAAACAAATCTATGCTTGGTCTTATTAAACAATAAACCCAAGTCTTCTCAGATTTGTGCTTCCTCATTCCTCTAGTTTGTCATCACAGTGCTGGGAATGGAAATTTGCAGAGTGGGTTCTTATGCAAATTCTATATTCCAATAACATTGCAAAGACATAAAATGAAGTACCTGCTAGCATGGGTTATGATAATCCTTTGGCTAAACATGCTGGTATAGATCAAATTTACATTGGCTTCTGGTAGAATTCCACTTAGTTTCATATTTCTTTTTGAGTTATGTCCTAAATGGCTACACACATAGTAATTTTTTTTCTTTGTGATATGCTATAGTTGTGTTCATCAAAGGTGTTCAAGTTGGACACTTCTCAGTTAATTAAGCTGCCAACTGGAGGCTCTCTAGGATAGGCACTTTGCCTTGGAAATTAATTTTTTCCCTCTTTATTTGCTAGGGACCAACAGCTTAAATATCTTTCCTCCGATACTTTGATTTTGGAAGTACTGTTTTAACAGCAATGTTTTGCTAAGGCATGTTTAATAGTTGCAATAGCTGCTGCTATTTGCTTCTTTTTGCTACTTTCAATTTTATTGTGATACGTTTGGATTTTGAATAACTGGTTAGATGATTGGCAATATGCCTTTTTCAAAAGGTGGGGTGCATTTATAACTCTAGGAAGCTGAATAGATTTTTGGACCCTTCTATATCAACTTTAAGGTTTTGATTCAGTCTGGGCAGTTCCAAAACTAAGACAGGCACTCTGGTCTTTGCAGATAGGTCTTAAACTTTAAAGGGTAAGTCACAAAAACAAAGCACCTTCCTGTTGGAGTCAGCAGAGAATGTGAGCACTGAATATACCAGTGATGCTGAGGCTGATCTTGCATCAGGCTAGACCCCACTTAGAGAATTTGATCTTTCAAAGCCTGAATTGGAATGGGGAACATCAGGAGAAGCTTGTTTGCTTGTCCAGAAATATTCAGAGCTGTCACTCTGGATCACGTAATGAGATCAGAATTCATTTTTTTTAAGCTAAACTTTGTCAGTAAAACTGTTCAAAAAATTTGTTAGTGAAACATTTTCATTCAGGAAATGCTGATTAGTTGAAAGCTAAATATATGATGGGAACTGCCTCCTTGGGTAAAAATTAGTATCTGAGCGAATATTTGTGAAAAAATTGAAATGCATCTCTTCCAGTCTTTTCAGAAAAGAACTTTTAAAAATAATTTCATACACTTTCTCCCTAAAACCACTCATTTCCCACTGCTGTAGTTTCTTAGGTCTGTCTAGAGAACCCAAGTTGTCCTCTTGCTGCCATTTATACAGCTATGTCAGGGATTGACCCTGGCTGGATGCCAGATGCCCACCAAAGCTGCTCTGTCACTCCCCTCCTCAGGTGGACAGGGGAGAGAAAATACAACAGGAGGCTTGTGGGTTGAGATAAGGACAGGGAGAGATCAGTCACCAATTACTGTCACAGGCAAAATAAACTCAACTTGGGGAAATTAATTTATTGCCAATCAAATCAGAGTAGGGTAATGAGAGAAAAAGCCAAATCTTAAAACACCTTCCTCCCACCCCTCCCTTCTTCCTGGGCTTAACTTTACTCCTAATTTTCTCTACCTCTTCCCCCTACAGCAGTGCAGGGGGATGAGGAATGGGGGTTGAGGTCAGTTCATCACACATTGTCTCTGCTGCTCCTTCCTCCTCAGGGGGAGGACTCCTCACATTCTTCCCCTGCTCCAGCATGGGGTCCCTCCCATGGGAGACTGTCCTCCACAAACTTCTCCAACGTGAGTCTTTCCCACAGGCTGCAGTTCTTCACAAACTGCTGCAGCCTGGGTCCCTGCCACGAGGTACAGTCCTTCAGGAACAGACTGTTCCAGCCTCTGTCCCGCACGGGTCCACGGGTCATTCCAGGAGCTTGCTGCAGTGCGGGCTTCCCATGGGGTCACAACCTCCTTTGAGTGCATCACCAGCTCTGGCATCGGGTCCTCCCAGTGTGGAGCTCTTTGTACTGCAGGGGGACAGCCTGCCTCACCATGGTCTTCACCACAGGCTGCTCTGGCATCTGGCATTCTCCCTCTCCTTCACTGACCTTGGTGTCTGTAGAGGTTTCTCTCACATATTCTCACTCTCTCCAGCTGCAGTTGCACAGATTTTTTTTCCCTTCTTGAATGTGTTAGCCCAGAGGAGATGGCACCATGGCTGATGGGCTCAGCCTTGGCCAGTGGCAGGTCCATCTTGGAGCTGGCTGGCATTGGCTCTATTGGACACAAGGAAAGCTTCTAGCAGCTTCTCACAGAAGCCCCACCTGTAGGCCCCCACTACCAAAATCTTGCCATGTAAACCCAGTAGCTTCCAATACAAGCCATTAGATTATTTTTAAACTTGTGTAGTCCTACCATAGCTAGTTACTGCTAGTTAAATTAGGGAGTATAGAAAGGGGAATCCAGAGAGGAATTCACAAAGATCTATGTGAGAAGGGCTGTGTAGCTTCCTGAGCACAGCTGTGTTGGGTGACAAAGGAGCATACTCTGGTAACTGTAGATGGTGGAAGCTGAAACGTGTTTAGCCACCAGTCAGTCGATTTGTGTAGGTATACTCAAGTGTGAAAGTGGCTATGAAGTGTAGTGGTAGGTCTGGAAATGTGTTGGTTGTGATATATGTGTCTGCATTGCTTTTTGCTTCTGGATTCTCCCAAGATACTTTCCAACAGAAGAGGTGGGATATGTATAGGAGGAGAATGAAGGTGCTAATTCCCTTCTTTGTGACTAACGCACAATAAAGACCTCAGCTCCTAGCAGACAGTGTAGGTTTTTCTGAGTGACCTTGACGTATTTTATATTCAGCTACACAATGTTTGTACAAGCTTTGCTTCTCTAGTGAAATATAGAAACATAGGTTGGGTTGTGTCTTAGTGGTCTTCTGTCATCATGAAAAAGATCCATAGAATGGTTGTAGAATGGGATTCACAAGTCAATGACAAGTTTAGAGCTGGAGCTCTATCTGACAATGAATTTCCTTCCTGAGCCTGTGTCCATTCAGTACTAGACATCTGCTCTCTACTGTGCTTAGTATGAAAATCTGGATGGCTTATTTGAGGACAGTTTTTCTTTTAAGGCAATCTGATCCTTCCATACTGAATTTATGGCACATATTAATTTCTAAGCTGAGACTGTTATTTTAATCATACCTGAAATAGTGATGTTTTGGAAGGTTCAGATGTAACTGCAAGACCCAAACGAACATAGGTAAAGTATATGGCTGCTACTTGTTCTTTTTCTTTTTTTTTTTTTCCTGGACACATTCTACTCTTCTGTCATCTAAGAGTCATTCTGATTATTTTTTTGATCCAGCCTGGCTTTTAAAGCCTGTTTTGCAAGAAGGACCAAAGGTTTTAGTTCTGTGGGAAGACAAGGCTGCCATGGCAATGAAGGGTGACAAGAGGTACCAGCATACAATAAAAGCATAATAGTATGGCAGCAAGTGCCTGTACAGGCAAAATGGGAGGCGTCAGGCAAAGGTTGGGCTCATTGTTGAGGGACCTGGAACCAGGACACCTGGCGTTGAGCCAGTAGGTATGGATGTGGATTTGAAGCAGGGGGATTGAATGAATAGGCAAAGTGTAGGCATTACAGAGTAGGCTGGTGGTTTGGAAAGTGATTTGCAGAAGGGTAGATATTGGTGAAGCTATTTGGGAGTGCTCTGTGGTTATAGATTTGAGCAGACAAGGACTTGGTCTGAACCAGGAGGGGGGAAGGTAGGGGCAGAAGAGATAGAGGGAACATGTGGGAGAGGATTTAGTAACCAGCTGGAGAGGAGTGAGAAGTCAGACCATTGGTATGGATTGAAAGGGGGAGAGACTTGGGATGGGAGTTTGGGGACTCTGAGTTATGAAACCCTGGTGGCTTTGGGACAGGAGAATTAAGAGATTGAAAGCTGAAAGAAGGTTAAAGATAGGGCTTGTATGAGGTCGATTTAAACAGGGCACTACTTTCCTATGCATTTCTAGACAGGAGACTCTGTATTGTTATTTTCCCCCTTTTCACTCCTGTGTTTAAACCACTTGAAATATAATAGTCTTTTTAAAGTAAAAGCCTTCTAAAATAAATTGGCATGAAGACAACCCCTGGGAGAGAACATCACTTACCCGAATAATAAAAATAGTACAATTGTTTAAAGCTACTCCAGAAATTTGGATTTAAGTCTACCTTGTTGGAAAGTACCTGGCTGGTATGAAAGGGACTTGATATTTGGATTTAATTATGTTTAATGGCAAGATTAGGACTATTGATTTGGAGGGTGTGTGTGAAAGAGAGACTTTTGAAAATACTACTATTGCTGTGGACTGTTTCTTTTCTGAGGGCAAGAACTTCTATGTGAGAGTTGAATGCCTTTGTGCCTTGGTTGCCTGTGTTGTGCCCAGCTGTGTCTTGGGGGCGGGGGTTCTCTGAATACATTACCTCCTTCCAAGAGCAGCTGGGAAGCTTGTTTTCCATTCCCGTTCTTGTGAGAATTGCTTCTGGTATCCGTGTACTAACATGGGTCTCCAGGGTTCCCAGGAATGTAGCCTCAACAGCTGTGCTTGGAAAGATGTTGCCATTCTGGTTGGGAGTCCACCTCTGTCCCTCTCTCCAATCCCTGGTGTTCTTCACTGTTTCCTACCCATGCCCAAAGCACCTGTTTCACATTTTCTCTTGTATACTCTTGTATTCTGCCCTCTGTATTAAATCAGTTTAATTTATTAAGCCA